AGTTTTATTTGTGTGTATATTTGCATAGCGGTGAAGCACAATTCACTGCTTGGTGCATCATGTAGACTATTGCACACGTTTTCCTTCTCATGTTCTCAGTCAGTATCAGAACATATGTTCACACTGTGCAAATTATTTAGACTGATGTACATCACAAAGTCCAACGTGCACTGCTGTGATTTGAGCAAAGAGGCTGGAAATGACAGGAAATCACGAGTGGAATTAGATGTGACGGAACAGAAATGGGTGAACACAACAAAAAAAAAATGACAGCATTTCATCCCAAAGTAATTTTCAGTCAGATGTGCAGATGTGTGACAAAAACAACAACCATCATCCCTGTTAATTTTAACCTATGCTGTCAGAACATTTCCTCATACACTCTGAGCCAGACTTCTTTATCAGCGGTCGTCATCACTTAACTGTTGCATCTGCATCTGCTTATTTTATCCAAAAAGTACTAATCAAATACACTTGGACAGGTATCTCTGGCGCCTATTGCTCCTATAGTTGTGCCTCTACATGTGACATATAAATGTCAAATTATGGAGGGGAGCACTGGAGGAGGGCTGAACATCTATGTCAACACCAGCAGAGGTGCAGCCACCAATTACCCATCGAGGGCGAGGAAAAAATAGGTAACTTGTGAAATGTGCCATCGATTCCTGGATGTGCGATAACAAGCTTGACATTTAGGAAGCGGTAAAGCTTTTTTTTTTTTTTAAAGACACCACACATGTAAACATCATCTTTGCGTAAGAGGCTGCCACTCACACAGCAGCACAGTTAAAAGATAACATAAATGCAGCTTGGCATTTATAGATCGTGCCGTGCCAAGCTCCTCATGGCGCAGATGGTACAAAGAGAGAGAAAGAGAAGATGGAGGGAGGAAGGGAGGGAGAGAGAGAAGCAATGAGAGAGGTCTGTGACACCTCTTTTTCTCTGCCCACACTAAAGCTGCCTATTATCTAATCCTTCACACCACGGACAGGGGGGACAGGGATGGTCAGAGAGGCAGAGAAAGCAAGACATACAGTAGAGGCCAGAAAAAAAAAGAAAAAAGAGAGCTAGAGAGCAATCGTCATCGCCGCCGGAGTGGCGTTCTGCTGGTGGTAACACAAGGCGTCATTGTACTGAAGGGCCGAGGGAACTGCTCCCTGTCTCTGCTTCAGCCAAGCCTGACTCGGCCCGACCGGGGCGGCCAAGTTTGAGCCTGGAAATTACTTAACTATAACTTGTGTCCAGACCACTAAGATGACTCATGACTCCAGTAGCGGGAGCATAGAGGATGTCGGTGCTCTTGGCTTAAAGGGCCAGTTCACGTAAAGTACAACAACAAAACATCTCATTGTTGGTGTCTGAGCAAGAGAGCGCCACAAAAACACTGTAGGTGCAGATGTGCTCTGTGTTCCCACGGTTTACGTTTCTGATGGACCTCTTTTATCTTTAACGGGGATGTCTCTTGCTTTAGTTTAATTAAACACTGAAAAACAATGCAAAAGTACAGACAGGTGAGAAATTAAAGGAAAAACTTGAACCTTTGACCCCTACAGAGATGGAATCTGGTGGTTGTATTTTGCTGTTTTGCTGGTATTGTTCAGGTCCACTTGTCCCCTTGGAGGTAAGATTTGAAACTGAAGTGTTAATGACTCCTAAAGAATATAAGTATCTGGAACTCCCAACTTGTAAGTCAGTCGGAACTGATGAGGCTTTTGGATGAGAGGTGAAACATCTTCAAGAAACTCAAGCAAGTCCACGACTAAACTACGAGAATAACCACGACCTGGATGACTGAGAGTCTTCACAGACACTTAGAGGTAAGAGTTATTGCAAATCAATACAAAGTGAGCGATCAACCTTATGCTATGATAAAGCGTTGCTGCTCAATGGGAGGAGGTTCCTCCCAGATGACACAGAACACGAGGGGTCACCGAATGGTTTGATGGTTATGATAACAATGATGTGAATCATATGCTGTGACCTGCGCTGTCACCAGATGTCAACCGAATTGAACATCTATGGGAGATTTTGAACTGACGTGTTAGACTGTGTCTCCATCACCATCAACAAACCATCAGATGAGGGAACTTGTCATCCAGTAGACTTGCAGAATCTGTGCCAAAGTTCACTGAAGCTATTCCGGCGACCCAAAAACACTTGACGTTGGATTTTCCTTTAATTTGTCGCCCATCTGTTTGTTCCGGCCTCAAGAATTTAAAAGACTTATGAAGCTGGTTGACAGAGAAAGCTGCACAATTAGCTTCTGTTCTGCTGTACAACCCCGGGTTTAATTGCCCGCAAGTTATCATTTCTGAGACTGCGGTTGGAAACTCACAACAGTATTTGTGGGTATTTGTTGGGGCCTCACTGTGTGCAGGAGTATACCAGCCAGTAGTGCACATCTGGAATGAATTTAGAGGACTACATGTGCATGCCAAGCTAAAAATGTTTCAAATCCTTCCAATCTTCTCTGATAGAAACAACCAAACTGCAAAAATGTAAAATGCAAGAGACTACTTTTATGTATTTGGAAAGAACAGTAGGTGAGTGCAGATGAAAATGTTCCCACTGTTCAGTTTAATGACTGCTATGTAACAAAAAACCTGTCATAATAGCACCACATGCACCAGACTGATACACTTAAACACACACTTATAGCCTCGGGCAGGAATAACGGTAATAAAGTTCACTGTGCGGTATGCTGGCGCAACAACAGAAAAGTATCGAGGTCATGCTTCTTCACACAGCCCTGTGTAAAAAAGACTACTGAATGCCAGAGGTCAGCATCGGAGATATCAGTTGCAAAGACAACAGAAGAAGAGTGGAGGGCGGAGGGGGGCTTGGTTTTGTGTGAGCGAACAGCGGAGAAAAAAAATATCTCCAGTCTTCCCATGACATTCCAGCTGAAGCAACCAACTTTCACAGCAGAGCATGAGAAGGGGGCAGCAGGCCAACACACACCTGTGCAGTCTTACGCAACACGTTGCTTGTTGCAGTGTTTCATTTGTAAGGAATGAGCACCTTCCACTGAAAAACCAAAACTCATCCAAACAGCTGAGGATCTTACAGATACCCAAGATCACCACAGCTACACCTACATATTTGCAAGGCAGCAAAAAAAAACCAAAACACTTCCAGCATACAGGATCAGCAAAGAATATTGATACACTAACATTTCTCCAACATGATCCCACTGATAATCCAAAACCAAGGAGTGTCACAGAGAGACACATATCTCCCAAAGCCCATGGACGCAAATAGAAACAGAGCAGACACAGAGACAAACAGAGAGGGAGACATTACCAACCTGCTCTTTTTGTGGACGTGCAGCCCACATGCTGGCTGGTCTGATCAATCCACTTGGCTTCACTGAATGGACGACCAAAAGCCCGAGGCAATCGCCGTGTGCGCCCGAGCGGACAAAGAACTGTACAGCAGCAGCACACAGTAAAAAGTCTGAGCTCCTTCTGTTCTGCAACTCAGTAAGTGTGGCTGAGAAAAAACTAACTGTGAACTCTCTCCAACTCCTCAGGAAGGGAGGGGCTCGGTGCAACTCTGGACCAATGGCGGGGAGAGATTCCTCCCTTGAGCCGCTCTCATTGGATGACCAGAAGTGCTGGCCTTCTGGTGGAGTAGGAGGAGTCCTCTGGGAGAGAAAATACTGACACTGGTACTGCCTGTTAGATCATCATTTCACACTCTGCCACTTTCCTGTCTTGTTTATTTCTTGCTCACGTTCGATTGAATGCTTCCGTCGGCCTTTGTGCATCTTTACTGATTTGCAAAGTGGCAAAACAGCAAAGAAAAATGATCAACAGAGCTTGTGTTTGTGAGCTTTAAAAACCCAAATGTGATCATAAAAGAAAATCAAAGTTATGTTAAAAGATCTGATGAGGTTCTATCTTTACTTGTGCGTCCACATATTTCGTCCACACTGCAAGAGCTCTCATCTCCAGCCCTCTACTACAAAACCATTCATTATCTGGCAGCCACACACAAACATCCACACATTCAAGATCTCTTCTTCCATCTAGTGGATAAAGCAAAATCCTGCACTCCTCAAACAACCGAGCACATCACCACAGCTGCCAAATGTGTGTTTCCATGTGACGGACAGGGACTTTAACCTCTAATCTACCGCACCCTGGAGGCCTATCACAGATAAAAATGACACCTAAACACTCATCCGCACATCCGGACTTCACCAGGTTTACATACACACGAACCACATAAGAACACGGCGCTGAAACAATCAGTGGAAAACGCATTTCATGTACAGAACACGTAGCAGTAAAGTCATAAAAACATAGATCAAACACAGAGATGAACTGCCGGAAACTAGAGGAAACCTCACAACCGTTCACAAATACATTAAATCCAGCCGTGACAACTCAGAGAACGCACACACTGTTGCTGTTATTACCTCCTGTTGTCCCAGAAACAGGCCAATTTTGTTGTTTGTGTTTGTAAATTATCATATAAGCTTGTTGTTTGGCTTTTAACACCATGTTGTTGTGAGCTCAGGCCCATCAAATGCCGTCTACACAGCACATGTTTCACAGTGCAAATGTCTAAAGTTCACAGGATAATGTTTTCAGCATCCAGACACATATTTACATCACAAACAGTCAGAAACATACCAGATATGAAGAAAAAGGTCTCGTAATCTGTCCTGACGAGTGTCCTGCTTGCGTTCGGTCCACCGGTGAGATCCGTCTCCCTCCTTCCCGATCTATTTATCTCCAGGTCAGTCTCTCCCCCCCCTTTAATCACACACACTTCATGATTCAGTGGTCATAAACATAATGGTATCTGTGGATAAACACAGCTCAAAGGGCAGAGAGATTACAGTATTTGAGACGTGAAGATCACATCAGTGCAGTACAAGCAGAAATATACTGCAACTCTAATTGTGATTCGCACTCAACTTGATATTGGCAATAAAATATCACCTAAAAATGTCAATCTTGTACTCAGAAGAGTGTTAATATGTCAAAGCTGACCATAAAGACTGCAAGAGTTCATCCTGTGTTATTTATGAGTTCTCTCTGGCCGATGCCATAAAGTCAAAATTCAGTATTTGTTCAAAACTTCTTACTTTGTCATATAAAAACGTCATGCCAGAAGAAATTCTAAATTAGGGATTAAAAAAAACATGCTGGAGTAAAACAAATCAGTTTTAATGCTCACTGAGTTTGTTATATCACATAAATACGACATTTAATTAAATTAAAATTGAGAGTGGAAAGTAGCAGATTAATTACCACAGTCTTGCTGAAGTAAAGTGTCGCTCTGAATCATATATTTATTTACTTACAGATAAAGAATGGCATTAAAGAGACATTCTTCACTGCCTTTTTGTAGGTTTTATGAAAGCTTGATCTTCTCTGTTTACAACTATGTGGCTGTTTTCAGATTCACTTGCTGAGAGAGAAAAACTCCTCTGAGCTCCCGTACATTCAGGATTTAAGGCTGCGAGCAGGATTTGTGACATGACTGAGACACCAATCCAACAGGGAACTTACATAAGTGTGACATGGAAACTTGAAGCAAGCATTGCACATAAATCAAAAACTGACTTCTAGTGATGTAGGAGACACCTTTTGAACTGAGAAATAATATTTCCATATTATGGTGTCTTTTTTTCTTTACAGATTTTCTTTTTCTGCAATAATCCTGAGACACATGCTACTATTCAAACCAGAGGATGTATAAATGTCTTTAAACATGTTTGGAGTGGGTTTATAATAGCAATGCACCTAAAAGGCATGGAGTTAAGGTTTTAAAAGTTACCTAGATGCTATAGAGTTTTAAATTTAAAACCCTTTTCCCACCTCTGCTGTTACGTTTCCTCCCGTTGTACGGCTCATGGGCCAATTATCCTGCCACTACTTAGAGGCTGATGGAGTCTCTAATATGGTGCTAATTAAGTAGGTTACTAATGTGCCTCAGCTCTAACCTCATTAAATGCTGATATGGATATTCATCTTATACTGTATGAGGCATAATTTATGTCTAAATATGCCTTAAATGCAAATAAACCTTAAGCGGTTTGGATGACACTTGATTAAACAGGAGCAGTGTGGGTTCTTAAATGCACCACGGCCCCTGTTCTCACTCCGCTAGGGGCAACTTGGAACCTTAAATTAAATCTGGACCGACTATAATGCAATTTAATTCTTTATGACTGTGCAATTATACGACTCCATTTGGGCAGAGTGAACATTTGAGATATTTCCATCCCAAATGGATCTTTTAAAATGATTTCAATATGCAGATTATTTTAATGAACACAAGCCAGAAAGGGGATTTATAATGTTATGTCTATCACTAAAATTTATCCATATGAGGAAAAAATGTCTTTTTTTTCCCCCCACTCACCTCCTTGTAGAATCAGCTGCCAAACTGCACTTCTGGAGCACATTTAGTCTTGCTGAAGGACACTTCATGTCACCATTCGCTCCCCTCCACTGTGTCCTCTGAAAGACTTGGTGGTAAATACCGATTTGCTTTAATTGGTGAGCATCAACCCTCAGCCATTACTGTCCTTCCAGCACCAGTAGGTGGTGTTGCAGCATTGGACTCACTGCAGACCCCCACACCTCCCCTCCCTGGAGCAGCACCACTTCACCTGGCTATGATGTTTTGCGCACTGGGAGTCAGGATGCACACGTTGGATATGCACCATAACTAGAGGAGCAGAAGTGAGGTGCCAGGGTGGATTTCTTTTGTCAGTCTCAAGTACTTCTTTTTTTTTTTTTAATTCCACTTTAATCATTTGGACTCCTATTTTTATGATTATGTTGACAATGCGTCGTTCATTCGTGGTTTTTGTGAGTTTTATAAAACTGTCTCCCTTCCGTAACACAGTGTTTGTTTTCACGGTGGTTGTTTTTTATCCGTTCGTGTTTGGTTGAGTTTGACCTCCTGTGTCCTTCCCAGGACAGATGTTCATCGCTGCTGCCGCATCATTACGACCCTGAGTCTGACTCACCGTCACATGCTGCCCGATGCAACTCGTCAATCCATCCACTCTTCTGGTTTGAACTGACGCGTAAAGGCAGGGACGTACTGCTGGTGATGGGAACTCTTTGGGACTCGCTGGCGCATGAAGAACGAGCTTCTGGTGGCTCTCAGGAACAGAAAAGATGCAGAAGATAACCGGTCTTTAAGTTTTTGAAAATCATTTTTTAGATTATATATGGTTGTGCTGATTTTGATGTATCTGTTTGGATTGGAATACGCACAACTATAATCTTGGCAGGTGACGTGTAGCTTACAAATGTCCAGTATTGCATTTGCTTTTTAACGCTCCGCTTTTGGACAGTTACTTCAGGAGCGCTTCAGAGTGCATACTGCAGATGAAGTGGATGTTTTGGCTCGACCTTAAATAGCCTCATGTTTGCGCTAGAGTCTGAAGACTAAATGCTCCCTTGGAGATTCTCAGACTTTTTCGAGCAGCTCAAAATTGCGACTTGTTTCACCGCCAAAGAAAACAAGTGTGCGCATTGGTTTTACGCACGCCTGCTGCGCTTTGCCATCGAGACCTGAGACAGTGATGAAGGCAGGAAAGGGCAGCGCCAAGGGGCATGAGGTGTCTCAGACCCGGGGTGGCTTCAGCAGTCAAGGGCACGAGTGGCCCCGTGAATAACCGCGCGGCTACAGCATGCCCCCTTGGCCCAATCACTCGGATTGCCTCTCCCATAACTGCAGCTGGGAGGAGACCCACAACGCCACAAGTACCGCCGACCCTGCACAGCCTCCTCTCAATTACTATTCAATCCCTCTCCTCACTGCCATCACCATCGCCTGCACGCTGCTGTTCCTGGTCGGGGTGGTCGGGAACGTCATGACCATTTTGGTGGTCAGCAAGTACCGGGACATGCGCACCACCACCAACCTGTACCTGTGCAGCATGGCTGTGTCAGACCTGCTCATCTTCCTCTGCATGCCCCTGGACCTCTACCGCATGTGGAGGTACAGGCCCTGGCGCTTTGGGGACGCGCTCTGTAAACTCTTTCAGTTCGTATCAGAGTCGTGCACGTACTCCACCATCCTCAGCATCACCGCGCTGTCAGTGGAGCGCTACCTGGCGATCTGTTTCCCGTTGCGCGCAAAGGCACTGGTGACCAAAAGGCGAGTGCGCGCGTTAATTCTCCTCCTCTGGACGGTGTCCCTTCTGAGCGCCGGGCCCGTGTTTGTCATGGTGGGAGTAGAGCGGGACAGCATGGGACCATCAAACTATAGTTTGTGGATGAATGAGACTGGCTTGTACTTTGACACTGGTGACACCCGGGAGTGTAAGATGACGCACTACGCCGTGGAGTCAGGCCTGATGGGAGCCATGGTGTGGCTGAGTTCCGTTTTCTTCTTCATGCCGGTGTTCTGTCTGACGGTTCTCTACAGCCTTATAGGCCGTCGGCTGTGGCAGAGGCACAAGGAGACAAACATGAGCTCCCGTGTGGCTCACAGGGACAAAAGCAACAGACAGACCATCAAGATGCTGGGTGAGTTAGGAGAGACTGTAAAGTATTTAACTTTTATATACAGCCAGATTTCATTAGAAAGGTTGCTGGTCCTCATCATTTCTCCATAGAAATGTCTACATCCACTTACTTCTGTCTCCCTCTTCTCTGTCCATCCCCCTTCACTTGCTCCTCTTTCTCCTCCAGTGGTGGTTGTTCTGGCCTTCGTCCTGTGTTGGTTGCCGTTCCATGTGGGTCGGTACCTGCAGTTCCGCTCCCTGGATGCTCCATCCCCGCTGCTGTCGCTGTTGTCTGAGTACTGTAGCTTGGTGTCCGTGGTTCTATTCTACCTGAGTGCCGCCATCAACCCGATCCTCTACAACACCATGTCCTGGAAATACCGGGGCGCAGCGGCGCGCCTCTTCGGCCTGACCGACAGCCATCCGGCACGGGGACGCACAGCCAGTACCGTGAAGGGAGACGGCTCCAACGGCTGGACGGAGTCCACAGTCAGCTTCTAAACGCACGACTGTCAGAGTGTCTGGATGTAATTTGTCAAGCTATCAATCATATGTTGAGAATACTCACCTAAAAGCCATTATTTCTGTCAGGGCGAGGAAACACTGCTGTGAGCACCTGCCTTTATCTGACTGAAACCTAAAGGCACGAGAAAAGCACGAGCCACAAAAGTTCAACATGCATAAAATAAAACCTCTACTTAATATTATTTTTATTATTATTACTACTATTATTCTTTTTTTTGCCTAAGTTATTTGTCTGTTTGGTTTGTTTCAGCAAGTGCCATACACTATTCATACAACACAATCAGCAACATTGAGAAGCAGAACTGGTCAAGTGCAAAAATATATATTGATCCAAATGTGAATATCAGGAGCTCGCATGCCAGTGTTCATGCACATATATAAATACCACAGACATCTATAAATGCCTTATATTGTATTCATATTCTGGATGACAAAGAAAGCACTGTAGAATTTGTGGCACTGCTCTGTACTCCTTCAGAGAGGGACAGAGGTGCAGTGTGTGTGTGTCTGTGTGTGTCTGTGTGAGAGAGACATTTGCATGTGTGTAGTATGCTTTTGGATGTGATTCTGTGAAGATGTGTACTATGTTATCAATTATGTTCAGTGCCCTGTTTCTTGGAAATTCAAGTCCATGTTGTGATGATGCTGCCAACGAGGGTCAGTGAACAGTCCCTGAAATGTGCGTTCATGTCCATGTTCTGCACATCAGTGGTTTATTTTCAGTGAGACAGAAAATATGTACCCGTCACTTTGATTTTTGTGTTTAGATTTCACTGACAAATGAACAACACTGTTCAATCTGCAGGCCTCTTGCTATGTCATTAGAAATGTGCACGAGGAGCGTCATTACATTTTCACGGGTCACTGTGTGCAGACTGTGCAGAGCATTTATGAAGTGTCAGTCTGCTGCGTAAAACACAGATAGCTGATGGATGTTGCTGTATAAATGAACATGACAGTGGCCATGAACGCCTCAGCTTTCTGAATCTTGTGAACCGTGCACTACTTAAACATTGCTGATTTTTTTTTTTTTTAGCACCAAAGCCATCAGATGTACTGATGTGAATTACCTTGATTCAACACTTTACAGGACCTTTTCTATTACAATGTTCCAAATCTGTGGATCCAGTCATACTCATATGTAGCAGATTTTCGTGGCATCATTGTCTGATTTGACAAGATTGGTTGTGTTTTTAAGCATGCGCAAAGTGATGCAAATATATATATATTTTTTACCACTCATGCCTCTATAAAAGCTGCCTTGTGTGTTAGCTGTGCTTTTGCTACACTTATCTTTGGAACAAATTGTTTACCACTCCCAAAAATGAAAAGCCAGATGATTTATTTACTAGTTAAACAAAACACGCACAATGTAAATTGTATAATATAAGTCTTATTTGTCTTGTCTCTTAATTTTCTATGAATGCAAGGTTAAAACTATTCATAGGTGACAAGCCGGCATCTGTGGTTGACACTGAAATGGTACGACAAGTGGATGTGGGACCCAATTTGGATGATTTTGTCCGCCTGTCCAAAGGTCCTAATGGCTAGTCTGGTTAAAACAGCACATAATAGCATGTGAACTGAAATAGAAACACTCTAAATGTGCCCAATCCTGACAAAGTGTCACCCCAAGAATGCTTTTCAACACTCACTTTTCCCTTAAGAGTGCATAAAGTAATGTTAAAGATGGAGATTTAAAAGTGAACGATTTTTGTAAACTGTGTCATCCACCCTTTGGGTCAAAGACATTCAGTAAACTATCTGTAAGTGACGTCAGTCTTGCGTTATTTTGTAAATAGCTGCTCTGTAATGCTTTACACCTGATGCTGTACACTCAGAGGGATTCAGCAGTCCAAAATCACCGCAGCAGCCTCCAAAAAATCTGCACTGGATTTAAAACATGGCCTCCTGGCTCTGAAGAATGTATCTCAGTTAAACGAATGTTTCCGACTGTACATACTGATAAACCTTACACACTGTTTGTTATTGTACAGGATGTATACTGATCAAAAGAGTAAAAATTGATTCCTATTTTCTTTTATTTGGGAAAAAATGTCTGTGAATATCTCCTGTTGATAAATGTATCTGTCTATGATTAAGTCCTGTAAAAATAAAAAGTAAATGAAAAAACATCTCTTGGTCTTTCTTTCGTACACAGTATTTGTATTCTTTATGTAAGCTCGCACACACTTAACAGTCAGGTAACCGTTTGTCCTAAACATATGAGATGCAAATTGCAATCAGGTTTGTGAAGCTTCCACTTAACGCCACCTTTCCACCCACATCCAACATCGCTGATGTGAACACTGCTCAGAGTGGACTCAGAGACACGTACAGCACGTCGTCAGTAGTCTTTTCCCCATCCGACCCTGCTGCAGCCATTATGTAATTCTAGTCTCAGTAGGGTGCAACACCAATCACTGGATTGTAATCTTAACACATACGCACAGAGGTTTGTTCTCCGTCATCTCAGCTGGAATTGTATCTTGGTGACCACCAGGCGCAGTGTCAGTCTATCACTTCAGACAGCTTCAAAGACAGCAGGCGCTGTTGACACCAAGCACAGCTTAAAGGACTCTTCAGCCATCTCGGAGTTCACCCCAGGTATATGATCAAAACACATAGAGAGCCTGTAAAAAGCCTTTCAGGACAAAATGTTCAGCAGCTTGGCTGAGAACATTGGAAGGGTTTTCAAATCTAAAGGTAATGAAGGAGACAGGGTGTCTTAATGAAATGAGAGTTGGGTCGGCATCTCATAGAGTACGGGTTGGACGGTAGGTGGCGAGAAGAAGAGATGTAAAAGAAAAAACAGCATGAGGACGAGATGTCCAAACACAAAAGAAATTTACAATGGAAATGTAAGCAATAAAATAAAAGGTGAACAACAAGAGGTTCAATCAGTGAGTCAGACTCCAGGAGAGGTAATTTAAACGTAGGCTGTGAAGCAGAGACTGAATAAATGAACTTCAGAGGGTGGAATTTAAGAGGAGTTTACATCTACCTCCAGGTATATCACATAACACTTCTGCATCTGCATATTCTATAGTACTGCTGGTGTACAAACACAGGCATGGACTGTGCGCGCTCACCCTCACAGGAGCTTAGATATATTTATTGCATGTGCTAGAAATCTTGCTGACCAACACAATGTTATCTGAAAATCTGGGCTGGTGCAGAATCACAGAGGTGCGCTACAGGGTGGGGATCAGTGCAATCAATTCTTGAGCCATCTCCTGCAAGAACCAAGACTTTAAATGTAAAGCTTTGCTACTGGCATGTGAACTTCTGGCATCACATACTGTATATCAGTGCCACATTTCATTGACATTCATTTAAAAATATTTTACTTAAGATCACAACTAAGAAGCTCATGATGGTGCAAGAGGAGAAGTCACCAAGTTCTGTGGGCTTTATCCTCAGGGGGTCATAGAAAAAGAAATAGCAACATATGCAGCAGTTCAACACCAGCTGATCTTCCCAATGCTACAACCAGATCTGTGCTTAAAAAGAAACTTCTGTGATTATAAAGTAAGAATTAGACTGTCCACACAAGAGCAGGTATATTTCCTCACCACCAGATCAGCACCTTGGACTCTTGACACCAGAAAAGACACTCCCATGGCCTTCTCCAAAGTCCTGCACTTCATTAGGCTACTAATATGAAGCCCTCTGCCCCACATCTACATTAAAAACCCACAAAAACACATTAGATTTCCTCTCTTTTGCTCCTAAGACAGCAGGTTATTGAGTTCTGTGATGCCATTGTTAGCAAAAAAAATAAAAAATCCCATGAACGACCTGCTTCGGAGATGTCAAAACAGAAGCATCTGGCACCAAAAAAATTATACCACATTCAGTCACTTAAATTACCCTTCTGTCAAGAAGAAGTAGCTTCTTTCACGAGCTATTCCAAAGCCACTTGATGCTGCCTGAATGCCATCCTTCAGCCTCAGTTATCCTTCATCACATGGCCAGGACACTTCCCAACAACCTTGGTTTGTTCTATTGTTGCTTCAGCTAAATTAGAAAAGGCGAGATAAGGGACGCTGTTTGTTTTTGCCGAAATTTTTACACATCTAAAAGTGAGAGGATCAAGGGTAGCGCAAAGGGTCGAAATGCTAATTTTCCTCAGTGGTCCTTGGGTTGTTTCAGGTTGAGGGGAATTGAGCGTTCCAGCGCTGCAGTTTCTCTCCGGCCGCCCTCAGGGACAGCAGGGGGATAATAATGTCTATGATTTACTGTTCTCTCTGATATCTGGCTAAACACCATCAAGGCCACTGGAGAGTAAATCTAACACACATTTACACTCACTCCACACCCTTGAACCTGAAGTGACAATAGGCACAACTGTCTATAATTACACAAATGTGTCGCTGTGACATTTAAAATGAATTACGACTGTTCTAAACTTAATTCGGATGAGTTATTCTAATTCAAACCGTTATAAATATTGCTTCTCCTCTGTGTTTACAGCAGTACATTTATGTGCCTCCGTAGAGGGAACATCATCATTCTCTTATTAAATCTTGAGGACAGAAATCGATAGTGTTGTACAGCGCTGAATGTCAGAGAAACTGTGTTTGTATTGACATTGTCTGCGGACAAATCTCTGTCCATTTAGCCTCCAGAGAAGTGATCCATACACAAAACAATGCAACACACGCCACTAATCGTAAAGCAGTGCACAGTCAAGCCAATAAATATTTGAACAGAGACGCAGTTTTTCTAATTTTGCCTCTTTACACCACAACAAGCAGTCAAAATGTAATTAAGGTAAAGACTTTGAGCTTTAATTCGAAGGGTTTAGCAAAAATATTGACTGTTCAGGACTTACACCCATTTTTCCTCCATTTTCACAAGCTTAAAAGTAACTGGATGAAATAATATAATTAGAAATATAAGGATTATTGTTAATACTTGCATATACATCCTTTGCAGCCAATGGCAGGCTGAAGTCTGGAACCCACGGACAT